ATATATTTTTTTTTTTTTTTTTGACAGGCAGAGTGGACAGTGAGAGAGAGAGAGAGACAGAGAGAAAGGTCTTCCTTTACTGTTGGTTCACCCTCCAATGGCCACTGCGGCTGGCGCACCACGCTGATCCAAAGCCAGGAGCCAGGTGCTTCTCCTGGTCTCCCATGCGGGTGCAGGGCCCAAGGACCTGGGCCATCCTCCATTGCACTCCCAGGTCACAGCAGAGAGCTGGCCTGGAAGAGGGGCAACTGGGACAGAATGCAGCACCCAGACTGGGACTAGAACCCGGTGTGCCGGCGCCGCAGGTAGATTAGCCTAGTGAGCTGCAGCGCCGGCTGTGAGTATATTTTTTGAAACATAATGGAACATGGAGAAAGTCCTAAAAATTGTCTCTTAAAACTTTTTCTGGGACCAGCACTGTGGCGTAGCAGATAAAGCTGCTGCCTGCAGTGCCAGCATCCCATATGGGTGCTGGTTCAAATGCCTGCTGATCCACTTCTGACCCAGCTCTCTGCTATGGCCTAGGAAAGCAGCAGAAGGTGACCCAAGTCCTGGGCCCCTGCACCCATGTGGGAGACCTGGAAGAAGCTCCTGGCTCCTGGCTTCAGATCAGCTCAGCTCCAGCCATTGCAGCCATTTGGGGAGTGGATGAAAGACCTCTCTCTCTCTGCCTTTGCCTCCCTGTATCTCTGCCTTTCAAATAAATAATTAATTCTTAAAAAAAAAAGTTTTCTTATCATCATAGAAGATAAACTGTTATCTTTTGCAATAGGAATGAGTAGTAAACAATCTATTATCTATAGAATAAAGTGTTAAGTAGTTTGAAAGAGATCTGAAGAATACACCAAAACAATACTCTTTGAAAAATTTTAAAAGATTTTAATTTTATTTATTTGAAAGGTAGAGTGACAGAGAGAGAAGGAAAGACAAAGAAGTCTTCCGTCACTGGTTCATGTTCCAAATGGCTGCTACAGCTGGGGCTAGCCCAGGCCAAAGCTAGGAGCCAGGAACTCCAGCTAGGTCTCCCTGATGAGTGGCAGGGACCCAAGAACTTGGGCCATCTTCCGCTGCCTTCCCAGGCACGGTAGCAGGGAGCTGGGTTGGAAGCAGAGCAGCTGGTATTTGAACTGGCTGCAGGGGACAGTGTAATCAGCTGTGCTACAATGCCAGCCCCAAAAATGATACTATCCCAAGGGAAAATATTTACAACATCTTTCCAAAGGCAAAGGTTTGAAAATGCTTTCATTTAAAAGCTAACAAACAAAACAAATGTTTTTTCTATTTTTCAGACATGAAAAGACTGATTAAATTTTATTTTCCTTCTCAAACCTAACAATCTCCAAATTTCCCAATTTGGTAAGTGGCTTCCATTCCCATCTAATTATTCTAGTCTAGGGTCAGGCATTTGGCTAAGTGGTTAAGATGCCACTTAGGATGCCTACGTCCTGTTATCAGAGTACTTGGGTTCAAGTCCCAGCTCTGCTCCCAATTCCTGCTTCCTGCCAATTTACACCATGTGAGTCAGGAGCTGATGACTAGTGTTTGGGTGTCTTCCATACACATGAGAAACTCAACCTGAGTTCTTGGCTTTGTCCTGGGCTCAGTCCTGGTTCTCACAAGCATCTGGGGAGTAAACCAGCAGATGTCTGTGTCTCTCTAGCTCTCACTCCTTCTCTGCCTTTCAAATAAATAAAAAATAAAAATAAACAAACAAATAAAATGTCATTGTGTCCCTGCCACCACATGGGAGATCTGGATGGAGCTCCTGGCTCCTAGCCCAGTCCCAACTGTTGTGAGCATTTGGGGAGTGAATCAAAGAGATCTGTCTCTCTCTTTTTGTGTGTCTCTGTCTTTCAAAAATAAAATAAAATAAATAAATACAACTTTTAAAAAACAATTATTTTAACTTACAGCTTTGTGGTCATCCTTGGTTTTTCCTTTTCTTTCCTCTTCTACACACAAAACATTATCAATAATTATTGGTTCTGCTGCCAGATTATGTGTCTACTCTGTCTATTATGCTCTGTCTCCACAGCCATCCACCTCATCCAAGCCATTGTCTCTCGCCTCCTGCCACAAGAGCCTTCTTTGTTTAAAATTTTTATTTATTTATTCATTTTCATGTATTTGAAAGGCAGAGTGACAGGGAGAGAGAGAGAGAGAGGCAGAGAGAGCTATCATCCATTGATTTACTCTCCAAATGCCCAGTGGCCAGGGCTGGACCAGGTTAAAGCCAGGAGCCAGACTCCATCTAGGTCTTCTACAAAGGTGGCAGGAATTCAAGTACATGGGCCATCATCATCTGCTGCCTTCCAGAATGTGCACAAGAAAGAAACTGGATTGGATTCAAAAGTGAGACTCAAACCCCAGCACTCCATTATGGGATGCAGGAGTTGTAAGCAGCATTCTGAGTACTGGGCCGAAATGCCTGCCCCATGAGAGCTGCCCTACGAGAGCTTTCTTTTTATTTATTTATTTATTTATTTTTAATTTGAGAGGTAGATTTACAGATAGATGGAGAGACAGAGAGAAAGGTCTTCCATCTGCTGGTTCACTCCCCAAATGGCCTCAATGGCTGGAGCTGGGCTGATCCGAAGTCAGGTAACAGGAGCTTCTTCCAGGTCTCCCATGTGGGTGCAGGGGCCCGGGCACTTGGGCCATCTTCCACTGCTTTCCCAGGCCATAGCAGAGAGCTGGTTCAGAAGAGAAGCAGCCAAGACTAGAACCGGTGCCCATATGGAATGCCGGTGCTGCAGGCAGAGGATTAACCTATTGCGCCACAGTGCTGGCCCCTGGGAGAACCTTCTTACTCTGTCTGCCCACTGGGAACACTCAACCCTATGGGATTTAAAAGAGACCAATTCCATTTTAAACTTATTCTACATAGAATAAAAATCATAGGTAGAAACTCCTCTGAAATTGGAACTCATCCAATACTGAAAAGAACTATGAAATGCTTTAGGTGGCTAATCCCAGGAATTTAACCAGTCTCAGTCCTAGTGCTTCAAGACAAGAGAATTACTGTCTATTACAGCAGATGGTACTGACAGTGTTCTTTTCTTTGTTGGATTCTAAATGATCAGAACTGCCAAAGTGGGGCTATTTATGTTAGCAAAAGAACACCGAGTCTTGCAAGGATTTCTCTTGGACTGGCAATGCCTCTTGATAACGGTGAATTACAGCTTCTGCAAATAATTGAAAATTTCATCTTTTTATTTTAATCAGCCTAGCCTCTTTGAAATTTGTCTTGTTGGAGAACGTTTATTTGATAAGTCTCTGCTTCCAATGTGATTTAGGCACAGGATTAGACTTTATTCCTTTCCTTAAAGAGGGGTAATTTCTCCCCCTAGATTCACTGGGTACAATGTATCAAATTTTTGTGAAAATTTATTTTTGGCTCCATCCAGCACATCAACTCCTAGCCTGAGACTAAACATTATTTGTGTTTCATCACCTGATCTAATGGAGAAACTGAGATTCATATTTTAAGAAATTGGAATGAAGTGTTCCAAATAGCTCTAATTTTCCTGGTCTCCCAGGAAATTTTTGATCACATTCTTTGATTCAATATGTTCTTTCCTCCTCTGTTTAGCACAGAGAAGGGACATTAAACACATAACTATCTGAAAATAATATTGAGGTACCAATTATAATACATATAACTTTTTGCCTCCAAATTAAAACCCATATGTTTTCTTGTATTTGTATAAAACTACCAAAAAAAAAAAAAACCCACTCTTTTTACCCTGATTCCAAAAATACTTGTCCAAGATTGGATAAAGAGAGATGAAGTAGGGAATAACTGTACAACTTAGGGTGGCTTATGTTATAAATAGGAATCATAGATATTTCTTCTCTCACTAAATATGTTTTAAATAATAGTGGTTGCATGTATTGAACAGATAATTATTTTGTTTATTGAATGCATCAGTGGCTGAACTGGGCACTCTCCGTGTTTCCCATTTAACTTGCTGTTTTTAGTCTTCACATCAGCTCTACCTAGTAGGCATTACTTTGTGGTGACAGCGCAGTGACTCAAACTTCATATTTTCAGGACTTAAAGTATATTTGTTTGCTTTTAGTCACTTTAATACTTCCTTTTATTTCCTTCCTCAAAATATTCTCAAATTGATGCTCATAAGAATAACTTATGGGGCTGGTGCTGTGGTGTAGTGGGTAAAGCTGCCACCTTCAGAGCAGGCATCCCATATGGGTGCCGGTTCGAGACCCAGCTGTCCAACTTCCAATCCAGCTCCCTGCTATGGCCTGGGAAAGCAGTAGAAGATGGCCCAAGTCCTTGGGCCCCTGCATGCACATAGGAGATCCGGAAGAAGCTCCTGGTTCCTGGCTTCTGGCTCCGGGCTCTTGGCTCCTGGCTTTTGGCTCCTGGCTCCTGGCTCCTGGCTTCAGATCGGCCAGCTCCAGCCATTGCAGCCAATTGGGGAGTGAACCAGCAGGTGGAAGACCTCTCTCTCTCTGCCTGTCCTTCTCTCTGTGTGTAACTCTGACTTTCAAATAAATAAATAAATCTTTTTAAAAAAGAATAACTTACAAGGGATTGGCATAGCTAGGTAAGCCACCGCCTGTGATTCCAGCATCCCATATGGGCAGTGGTTTGTGTCCTGGTTGCTCCACTTCAGATCCAGCTCCCTGATAATGGCCCCGGGAAAAGCACTGGAGGATGGCCCAAGTGTTTGGGCTGCTGCCACCCACATGGGAGACCTGGAAGAAGCTCCTGAGGCCACCTGGGAAGTAAGCCAGAGGATGGAATCCCTCTCTCTCTCTCTCTCTCTCTCTCTCTGTAACTTTTGACTTTCAGATAAATAAATAAATCTTTTTTTAAATGAAGTATAAGCTTCAAGCATTTTGAAGAGTTTAAACCTTTGACATTTTCAATAAATTAATGTAAAATGCAATCAAACATGGAAGACATGGATCTGAGCCAAGGAGACAATTTTAGAAAGTACTTTGTTAGATTCTCTTTAAAATTGTATCCTTACCTTTTGTCCACTAGCAGCCATCAGGTTAACCAGAATGGGTGCATGCAGGTAAATCCAGAAGCTGTGGAGAAAGCCACAGTCGCCTGTGATGTGCTTTCTTCTGAGGCCTGAGACAGCAGACCACAAGGGCTCCCTGCCTCCCAGCTGATGCAGCACACAGACTGGGATACAAAGCCAAGCAAGGATGTAACATATGAGATTTGTGTGGGCTTTGGTGGTCACAAACACCCATTTCCTAAGTGTGCAACTTATGGAAAGTCTGTCCACCTTGGTGTCCAACCAGCTAATGCTTGCCACAAAGCCTTCTGTCTGTTGCCGGAGTTACAAATGGGATATTACCAAAGAGCTCTGAGAGTTCTGAATTCTTACTGGATTAGGGACGATTCCGTGTACAAATTCCTTGAGGTTATCTTCATTGTTACACTCCATAAGGCTATCAGAATTTCTTCTGATAGCCAGCGGAACACCAGATCAGTCCACAAGCACAAGGAGGTGCATGCGCTTACAGCTGTAGGTTGCAAGATTTGTGGCCTTGGAGAGGGCCGTAGGTTCCACCACACTACTGTCAGTTCTGGCTGTGTGCAACACTGCCACCCAGCTGCACTGTTACAGCTAACACAAGTAACGTTTGTAAAATTCATACCTAGCTGACAATTTAGAACCAAAAGTTTTACTTAAAAAAAAAAGTTCAAAAAAATCTTTTTCTCTCTGCCTTTCAAATAAATAAAAATAAACATTTGATGATTAACTTGATAAAATTAGATGCCTCTTTTAGTAATGAAAAAAGTCCATGCTGTATCTATATTCTATACATAACATCTCTATATTATCTCTCTGCTGTGCCCACAGTAGTTGATATGAATGTTGCGATCTTCTAGGGCATTCGACTTTCCTCTGTGTACTAAGTAAGAGTCCTGTAGCTCCCAGTGAGCCTCCACAACCCCCAAGTGCTGTTTGTCCTCTGCTCAGACTACCGGGGAAAACATTGAGTGTTCAGGCTGATGGACCTGCCTTAGGAGCAGCACCTCAGACTCAATGCTAAGGGACACATGACCACAAGGAAGAAAGTGAATCATCTGTCAGGGCCCACAGAGGTGCTATCCTGATTGAGAATCAAGTCAGATCATGGCTGTAGCTATTATCTTAAAAAAAAGGAACATTAACATAAGTGTAACTAGCAATAGTTATCATTTAATTCACGACTTTCTTTTATTCTCGAGAAGGTTTGCTTCACTAATTCAAGAAATGTTGGATATCAGATGAAAACTTCACTGAGCTGACTGTATTGTCCAATTAAATTATGGCCAGAAATATACACATAGATAATTTTCCATTATTACTTTACTTCCAGGAAAAATGTTAAACTCAAGTTTGATCATCAAATAAATCTTTGCTTCTCCTCACTGTATTTTGGTCCTGAAATAACCTATAATATTCAGTTAAAACAAAACAAAACAAAAACTTGGAAACTAAGTACCATGCAAATTAAAGGGAAATTATTTTTTTCTGATTATAAAAGAACTTGAATTTAGACTTTTAAATTATGCATTCCAAAAGCAAGATATAAAGAACTTCTAATTGGCATTTGGCACTTCTAGTGAGGGCAAATTAAAAATACTTTAAGTAAGAAGAAAAAAAAAAACCACAAAACTTTTGAAAAGTTAGAGAATTTTAGAGGGGAAACTTTATAAATTTAAAAATAATAGCTGGAATATTAGTAAACTTGTTGAGTGAGGATTTAGCTTTCCCTTCCTCCCTGAGCAGGCACAACAGTGCTATTAGGGGAAGTAACACCTATTTAAAGGATGCAAAGAGAATAAAATTTTGTTTTGTTTCACACCACTAGCCTAACATTGTAGCATGAAGTTGGTCAGATGACACCTTTTGTAATTATGGTGGCAGATGCTGGTCTGTATAGAGTCCCAAGAGAATTTGAGGCTCTGGGCTACAAATCCTGGTTTCTCTTTGATATGGAGGGTTAGGGAATCCTCCCCTCCTTTCCAACACCCTGATCTCACCATTCCTCCTCCAAAATTAAGGTTTAGCGAAAACTGATCAAATTTTTCATTTATTCTCTTCTTTAATCAATCTCTGCCTTCTAATTTCATATTTCTTTATTTGTAATCAATGTTTCTCCTTTCATGATATAGACTTCTTATCTATTTTCTCTTTCAGTCTTCTGTTTCCCAATAATGTTTGGCCAAAATGTAATTGTTGAGTAATTGTAGAACATATATTTTGTTTAAAAAAGAGAACAAATTATTTCTCATGAATGTTACTTTTAAAAATCTTAGAGTGGCCATCCATAGCCACACATTCCATATCCATAGATTAAATAAAATGTGGACCAAAAATATTCTAAAAAAATTGCATCTATACTGAACATACACAGATTTTTTTGTCGTTATTCTATAACCAGGACAGCATAATGGCCATTTACCTAGCATGCACATTGTATTAGGTATTTTTTTTAAGATTTATTTATTTATTTGAAAAGTTACACAGAGAGAAGAAAGGGAGAGAGAGAGAGGGAGAGAGAGAGAGAGAGAGAGAGAGAGAGACCTTCCATTGCTGGTTCACTCCCCGATTGGCCACTATGGCTGGAGCTGTGCCATTCTGAAGCCAGGAGCCAAGAGCTTCTTCTGGATCTCCCACATGGGTGCAGGGGCCCAAGGATTTGGGCCATTCTCTACTGCTTTCCCAGGCCATAGCAGAGAGCTGGATCAGAAGTGGAGATGCCGGGTCTCGAACCGACACCCATATGGGATGTTGGCACTGCAGGCGGTGGCTTTAACCGCTATACCACAGCCAGCGCTGGCCCCTGTATTAGGTATTATAAGTGATCTAGATTTTAAGTGTACAGGTGGGGCCGACGCTGTGGCACAGCGGGTTAAAGCCCTGGCCTTGAAGTGCCAGCATCCCATATGGGTGCCAGTTCTAGTCCCGGCTGCTCCTCTTCCAATCCAGCTCTCTGCTAAGGCCTGGGAAAGCAGTAGAAGATGGCCCAGGTCCTTGGGCCCCTGCACCCGGATGGGAGACCCAGAAGAACTCCTGGCTCTTGGTTTCAGATCGGCGCAGCTCCGGCCATTGTGGCCAATTGGGGAGTGAACCTGTAGATGGAAGACCTCTCTCTCTCTGCCTCTCCTTTTTCTGTGTAACTCTGACTTTCAAATAAAATAAATAAATCTTTTTAAAAAAGTATACAGGAGGATGCATGTAGGCTAAATGCAAATATCACACCTCTTCATATAAGGGATTTGAGCATCCTCACAGAGGTCCTGGATACTGAGAAATGACTGTCATTGTGTGCTATTGAACTTTGGGTCAGACTCAATCACTAGCCAGTTTTAAACCTTATTTGGACATCCCTTTGGTAATGGTTAAAAAACTATTTTACTTTTTTCCCTTATATCTCTATATTATTACTTTGAGGATATATATGTTCTTTTATAATGTTAAGGTTTATGGCTTAAAACTTTTTGTTGTCACTAATTTTTATTTGAAAACAGTCTTACTACACATGTAATAATTTTCCCAAATAGCAGCCAGCAGGAGCTCTGACCATATGGAGAAGATGCACCACAATAACTCTTGAAAAAAGGATTAAGCAAAGACAAATCAAAGTGCATAAATGCCACCTGAAGAGGCTCTGTGGAGACTGAATATACTGCCCTCAGTTGACTGGAATTTGAAAATGAGTCGTACTTTGCACCTGACCCCCACCTTACAGTCCATTGTGCTTTCATGTTTGCACAGAGCTCGAGTATCCTAGAAGCTGCAGCTACATCACAGCCGAGGGTAAAGTATAAGCTGACAATTTCTGGGGCTCCATATGCTGCTAGGATATTTCATTTAGGCACAATGATCATGTAGGGAGATATGTATTATTATTATAATCTCTTTTCCTAGAAATTACTGATTGTTAAAGAAGATGCTAATACAGAATCACTTCATGATATCTGAGTGGTCATATTCCTCATGGGTGTATCCTAGAGCCATCCTTGTATTCATTCCACAAATGTGTTCTGGGGTACAGATGTGAACAAGACATCCCAATCCCCAGCGACCCTCATGTGCTTGACATCCATGGGGACCCTGCTACTTCTTTGCTAGAGAATCCAGCCGGACTCATCTCAGCTTACACTTACAAATGTTCTGTAAAGTTTTTGTGTTGTTGTTGTTGGTTTTTTTTTTTTTTTTTTTTGGTGTGGTTCTTTGTTTGAAGATTTATTTATTTTCAAAGTCAGAGTTACAGAGAGAGAGAGGAAGAGAGAGAGAGATCTTTCATCTGCTGCTTCACTTCCCAGGTGGCTGCAACAGCCAGAGCTGGGCCAGGAGCCAGGAGCCAGGAGCCAGGAGTGCCATCTGAGTCTCCCATGTTGGTGACAAGGGCCCAAGCAATTAAGCCATCTTCCTCTGCCTTTTTTTTTTTTTTTTTTTGATTTATTTATTTGAAAGACAGAGTTACGGAGAGGCAGAGGCAGATGGAGAGAGGGAGAAAGAGAGAGAGAGAGAGAGAGAGAGAATGAATCTTCCATCTGCTGGTTCACTCCCCAAATGCCACAACAATGGGAGCTGGGCCAATCTGAAGCCAGGAGTCAGGAGCTTCTTCCAGGTCATTCATGTGGGAGCAGGGGCCCAAGCACTTGGGCCATTTTCTACTGCTTCCCAGGCCATAGCAGAGGGCTGGATCAGAAGTGGAGCAGCTGGGTCTGTTGCAGGCTCCAGCTTTCCCCACTAAGCCACGGAGCTGTCCCTTTCCTTTGCTTTTCCCAGGCCATTAGGAGGGAGCAGGATCAGAAGTGGAACAGCAGTGCCCATATGGGATGCCAGAATTGTGGGTGGCAGTTTTGTCCACAATGCTGGCCCCAAATTTTTATTGTTTTTAAAAACTATTTTATTTGGGGCTGCGGCTGTGGCATAGCAGGGTAAGCCTTCCTGTGATGCTGGCACCCCTTATGGCCACTGGTTCAAGACCTGGCTGCTTCACTTTCCATCCAGCTCTCTGCTAATGCACCTGGGAAAGCAGCGGAGGATGGCTCAAATGTTTGGGCCCCTACACCTACATGGGAGACCTGGAAAAAGTTCCTGGCTCCTGGCTTTGGACCAGCTCAGCTCCTGTCCATGAGGCCATTTTGAGAGTGAACCAGTGGATGGAAGATCTTTCTCTCTCTATTTCTCCCTGTCTCTTTAACTCTGACTTTGAAATAAAATAAATCTTTAACAACTTTTTAAAAACCTATTTAAATGTTTATTTTATTTTTATTTCTTGAAAGGCCAAGAGGGAGAGAGAGAAATCAAGAGACAGAGAAAGAGAGAGGTCTTC